GGTCAGCTGCCTCTAGTGTATCGCAAGGGACCCCTTGCAACTTGTACCGTTGACCACAAGGAATGCTGAGGCTGAGTCCTCAGAGAATCTCCTACAAGCTACGCCAAAACATCGGCATCCTGAGAAATCACTCATATTGTTGCAGATGTAGTATATTCCATGAAATCTGCCGGGCTTGCCCGAGTCTTCAGCAGACTTGAGCAAGTGACAAAGCGGAGTGCCAGCGGCTCTTTTTGCGGGAAAGCCAGCCTGCCAGCCCTGTGCTGCATATGCACACCCAGCATGCATAAGACGTGCAGGTGGGCAAATCTATAACTGTCTACACCTGGTTTTGGGTATGTGTGTAGGTATTTATGTATGTATATACATAGATACAGAAGTAATGAAAAATCGACCGAATTGTCAAGATGCTCTGCACGGGAGAGCGATTTTATTTAAAATTTTCAGGACGTTCCACACGGGAGCGCGATTTTCGATGAAAAATCAATGAAATTTTGAAGATGCTCCGCACGGGAGCGCAATTTTCATCAAAATTTTCAGGATGCTCCGCATGGGATCGCGATTTTATTCAGAGTTTTCAGAATGACCCGCACGGGAGCGCGGCTTTGCTAGAAAATTTCAGGGTGCTCCGCATGGGGGCGCGATTTCCTTCAAAATTTTCAGGATGCTCCGCACAGGAGCGTGATTTTCAACGACGAAGTCGACGAAGGCAGTACGAAGGCTATACTGACTGACTACCACGGTGCTCCCCGCGAGACCGCGATGTTGAATGAAGAAGACGACCTAGAGCGGAGTACCCCAGTAGTGAATCGGTATAGCTTCCGTCGTCTTTATCGCTCAATTTTCGAACGATGAAGTCGACGAAGGCTATACCGATTGACTGCCGAGGTACTCCGCTCAAGACCGCCACTGAACGAAGAAACCACCTGGAGCGGAGCACTCCGGTACTCGGTCAGTATGGCTGTCAGTATAGCACTCGTCGACATCATCGTTCATGAATGATCAAAATTTTCCGCATGCTCCGCACGGGAGCGCGATTTTTAAAGATGTAAAGAAAAGAAAAAACACACACACACACACAAAAAAAAAGAGACTGTCTCGAGAGGGAGCGCGATTTTTCAGTAAGCAAAAAAAGGAATTTTGAGGATGTCCTGCACGGAGCGCGATTTTCAAAATTCGGGCACCAGGGGAGGACGACATACTGTTGAATGATTACGCCGTGATCATCCAACGATTTTTTGAGGATGCTCTGAGCGAGAGCGTGATTTATAAATCGCCTAGGGCGCGTCCAAAAGGTTTGCGCGACGGAAGAGCACGCAGGGATGGCTGGCGACAGCACATCTAACAACTAAAACCCCACACTGAATGTGGAAAAAAAACACAACCCTGTAAACTACCCAAAGGCCGAAGTTCTGAGGAACACCAAGCCCCAAGCACTAAACAACCCATAAACTACCCCAAATCCCTCCCCACACCCTACACCTCAACAATTCTTGGCGACGGAATCCCAAAAACTCTCCCTCTCCCTAGAATTCACATGAGGTGGCGTCAAAATTACTGACTAAACGAAGTAAACGGTAATTTTGACAGCGACTCAAATGACCCTGCACTCCCAAAAATAAGCCCCAAACCCTGCCCCTCCAACCGCCCTAAACCGTCACAACCCCCAACCATAAACAGCTGAACTCTACAACGGAGGAAACAAACACGGAACAATCCCAAACTCGTAGCCCAAGCAACAATAAACCCTGAGCAAACCTCAGCCCCACACCGTTAGGAGCCCCAAAACAAAAAGCGCTCGAAATCAAAGTAGCCAGAAAACCCTCAACAGCAGAACCGGCTGATGCCTGAACAACCCTAAGCTCTAAGCTTGAACAACACAAAAGCCTAACCCTCAACAACCTCAGAACCTAAACCCTTCAGAACCAAAAAGCTCTCTTTTCTGCATCTGGACTCCTACAGGCTCTGCCAGACTGACGGGCTCAACCCCAAAGGCTTGAGGAAACTCTAACCAAACCCCAAACCCTAAAACCTACGCAGCTAAACTCCTTGATCTGATTCGTGCCTCCTGATCCTACTGCTCTGAGCCGTGGCTATGTCAGTCTGATCTGAGCTCCGGGTACATGTAACCTGATTCCGCAATCCAGTTCGCCGAGCTGATCCGTAACCACACGGATCTCATTCGTATCACGTTCCTTTGCCTACCATCCTCGAGCTTTTGTTTTCTTGTTCGCGTCTGGGTACACATAGTTGGAGGTGTGGGAAGGAGGTACTAGAAAGAAGCAATGGCAGCTGCAGTAGCAGTAGTAGCCCAGCCGTAAGAGAAAGGAATAATGAAAGTAACTTTTCCAAGTCAAGAATCAGATCTCACCCGCGCGAGTAGCTGATCGAAGTGTGCGCTGAACGAACCATCCATGTCCACCTGCAGGGGCTGGGTAGCTTCAAATTTTGGAATCCCCGTAATCGCGTCAGCAGTGCTTTTGCTACGTGCTGTAACTTGTGGGTGCGCAAGTAGGACCCTATACACGTTGAGAATGGCGCGTGTGTTGATTTTACGGTTTGTAGTAGTATTTAGGAGTGAAAGCGGATGGGAATCCAATTTCAAAGAGAACTTGTAAAAGAAGGGTTCCAATTGTGAGTGGAAGATGTGGCTTCGAAGGCTAAACGCCTGGAGAAACACGAAATCTAGTTTTCGGAAAGGGGATATGCATCATGTCCATTAGTAGTTGATCAAACCCCATTCCTGGAACAACCACCTCTTGTCCGGCCCGGAGAAACCCAAGTTAACTTCTGAACCTCTTGACAGTGGTATGCAGTTTGTCTGTCCTACCTACCGCGTTTATTGGCTCCTGCACCGGAGCCCCTGCTTGATCGAAGTCAGCCAATACAAGAACACCGACGAACATGAAGGGGGCTCTTCAAATCTTTGATTCCTTCAGAAGGCCCGACTACAAAGACTACATGGCTTTCTGTCTTCCGGCAACCAATCGGAAACCCAAATTTCTTTAAAAAAACGTGGAGCTCATCCCTCCATGCTCTGAGGGTCCAGCAAGCTGGATAGGGCCATGGGAGCCACACAGGCAAAGACGCTTGAAAACAGATATGCGGAAGCATCAAAACAAACACACCCATCGCACGAGCCAAGCAAGGCCTGTGCTACAGTCATTCAGGGTCAGGGCCAACCTTTTCCTATCTGGTAACCAGGAAGCTTCGAAGATCCTCAGCCTGAGCAGGCCTCAGGCAGAAGCCTTGGAAGCCTCGCAACTATGTGCAAGACTACAAGGCGCCAGCATGCATAGACCGTTGCAAGTCACAGGGGCGCCTGCACGTAAGCATGTGCCGCCTTGGGCGGGTCACACCGAAGATTGGAGGGCATGTCCAGGTCTTCTAGAAAACGAGCCGTGAGAGACATACGTCTATACTTTGGTTGAAGATCCTGGAGGTGTTCATACAACACTTTCACGCAGCTTTGTGGCTTCGTTGATTGCCTCGCTGCCTCCAAAGACGTGATTCAACGACATGATCCTGGCTTTACGCCAAGAACAATGAGCCAGGCAGAACTTTGCGCAGCGCATGTACTTTGCGAAGTACTCGCTCAGCCGAAGTATGGAGTTGGAGCCCATTACTTTCCGGTAGCCCTTTTCCAGCACTTAAAGCCAACCACCCAAGAGCTTCAAAACCAGCCGCGATGATCTGACGACTAATCCACGCATTCTTGTTACCTTCTCATCCTTCCTAAGGAACCCACACATGGGGTTGAGTCCGCATGAGCAAGCTTCTGGCCATCGCAAGCTGTTGCTTTCAGCAAACTTGCGCGGAATAAATACTGAGAAGCCTCTCTGGACATGTGCCAAACACGAAGGCCTAAGATCAGGGGCTTGGGGTTGTCCGCGCCCCACATTGTCATTTTAATAACTTACAACTTATAACTATGGTGGCACAGAGGTACCAGCAACAAGGGGAGCAGCAGTAGATAGCAGTAGCAGCTGCAGCACAAAGCAATTGCTATCCTCATCGTCGCCAAACCTTGAGTATCATCTTCATTCGTCGTCTTCAAAGCTGCGATCGCAGTAGTAGCAGAAGTAGAGTAGCAGCCTCAGCGGAAATAGTAGCAACCGCAACAGGAGCAGCTTCATGGGGTTGCACTCTGCGCGGCGTGCGGCGCTTGACTGCTTTTGTTGTCAGCTGTCAGGGAAGCAGTAGCAGCAGAGCAGAAGCAGCGGTGATTGTACTTTGAAAGTAATCATGGCAGCAGCAGTTGCAGCAGTTGTACTCCGGTTACTTAAGGAGAGTGCTTCTAGGATCTGCTTTACCTCTCAAGCTACGAAAGCTATTTAGATTTGACACATGCTTTTATCACGGAAGCAAGCCTGCCTGGCACTGCGTGGCAGCACAGCGCAATGCGGGGCTTTGATGAAGCGCCCGAGGTAGGAATTTGGTACGGTTCAGATGTGTGATTTTCTTGGAGGCAAGGTCTATTTTGGATTCGCACAAAAAAACTACACAATTTTGTGGGATGAATATGTGCGACTTGGAATTGGAGAAGTAGCTTGCATTCTATAGCATGAATCTTTGTGTTCCAGACTACAGCGTTGATTCCTAATGCTCTTCATGACAAAAATGTCCCCTACAAAATCCTATGAACCCGACAACCACAAGGAGAGTGCACAATGTTAACCTTCACCCTAGGACTTGACTTCAAAAAGAACTCCAAGTCAGCATCTGGTTCTGGGATGGGATGGCAGATGCTTCCTACCATGGCCGCGTCTGTGCTTTCACAGCCTGACTCCTGATAGCACAGAACTTGCAAAGAGTTCAGAAAGCCAGTCACATTGACAAGTCCCTGTCGCGAAATCATGCTCTGGAACCTGAGGATGAATCACAATCCCTGCAACCTATATCTCAAACATCGCCGAGTCAAGGCTGCTACTTTTCGAAATAAACACACCGTGCAAGGTGAAACGCGGGGGGGACGCAAGGCATCCAAAGCAGAAAGTGCCTCATGCCGCAAATGTCCCAAATGTCATGCCAGAGGCCCGTCTGTACATCCGCCGATAGTCCAGTGGAAAAAGCGCTTTCATGAATTCACGTTCATCAATCCCGCCGTTGCCATCATCGTCGAACGCCATAAACAGTTCTGATGCCTCCAAGAACTACTACATGCAGGAAGAAGCAAAGAAGTGGGATTCTGGAACATGGGGGAGTTATCTGTCTTAGCCGGACATACATACCAGCTTGCCCAAGGAGACTTCCAGGTCACTGTAACTGTCGTTTAGAATGGTAATTTCCCAAAATAAGGGAAGCCCAATATGGACCCAAAAATACTATAATCCTCATTATAGGGACCCCCAAAATGGTGCCTCTAATTTGGGGAAACCCTAAACCCTATAGTCTATGTATCCCCGTGTTGGATGGCTTCAGTAGACGGAGAGGGTTCACCCTCTTCTTTTCTCAAAAATGCGGCGGGTACCTCCAATCCCCAGGCCCCTGGTGGGCCGCCCCAAGCCCCTGAGGGCCCAGCCCCAAGCCAAGCCCCCAAGCCATTGGGTGCTTGTTGTCAATTTCCATCTTCTCAGGCAGCAAAGGTCCAAAGGCCTGCGTGTCAGGCTGGGGCTGCCCGGGGCCACCCAAGCTAGGTCCATGAAGGCCTGGACAAATGGACTGCAGCATTGGTCCTGACAGTCCCGCAACCTAGCTTGTTGCATCGATTGATTTCCTGCGTGCGGTCCCGGCAGCCTGTTTGAACAAGGTTTACTGTAGGGTTTAGGTTTTAGCCATCGCGACTTCTCCGCGCATAATTGGCGCTTGGCGGCCCAAGCCCCAGGCGCCTGAAGGCCCGCGCCTCAAACCCCTGCCAAACCCCTAGGTTGAGCATGCTGATCAGGGCGCCCACCCACGCCAGGCTCTCATCA